ACCTCAGCCTCCCAAAGGCGCGGGATTACAGGCTGAGCCACCAAGCCCAGCTAATTTTTTGATTTATTGTAGAGATGAGGTCTCGAACCCCTGGGCTTAGGCAATTCTCTTGCCTCTGCCTCCCAACGTACTAGGATTACAGGCGTGAACCACCATGCCTGGTCCGTCATTCATCATTTGATAAAATTTTAAAAGGAGAAAGAGAGAGAAAAGATTGGACAAAATCAAAGGGTTGAAAGGAAGGCATTTGGAGCAAGCAGGGGGGTGCAGTTTTGGGGCCACAGATGGGCTAACAATCGCAGACACTAGGTTTGAAGATAGGTGTTTCCCAGCCAGGAAGAATGGTTCTGCTGGGCGGGAGGGTGGTCCCAGAGCCCTCCCAGCCTTGTACCCACACCCACTGCAGGCACTTCCTGCCCCACATCCCTCTTGCCTTCCCCCTTGACCCCTGAGATCATGCAGGGAGGGCAGAGGTGATAATAAAAGGCCGTCCAAAGGGGCAAGGGGTCCTGAGGCCACCTTTACCTGTTTTCAACTAGGCCTAACGGCGGGGTCCAGCCCTGAGTTCCTTTGGCCTTGGGATGGTCCTCAGACTGATGGGTGGGCTTGTCAGAGATGCTAGAGGAGTGGTACCTGGAGCTGACAGGACTGAGTGAGGGCTTTGGGGGAGGAGGTTCCTGGATGGAGCCCAGGGGCGTATAAGCCTGAGTACTACCAACAAGTTGAAAGACTAAACACAAAGTCAGCAGACAGTGCCTCCTCACACTAGGTTCTTTTCCTTTCCATAAAAAGAAAGCATGATTTGAAGAAAAAGCAAAAGGAGGAGGAGAAAAAAGAGGGATTTGGGAGTACATGCTGAAGCAATGATTCCTAGATCAGCAGCATGCACTTGCTCTGGAAACGTGTCAGAAACTCAGATTCTCAAGGCCAGGCACGGTGGCTCAAGCCCGTAATCCTGGCACTTTGGGGGTCCAAGGTGAGAAGATGGCCTGAGCCTGCGGGTTTGAGACCTGGGCAACATGGTGAGACCTCGTCTCTACAATAAATCAAAAAAATTAGCTGGGCGTGGTAGCGTGTGCCTGTAGTTCCGGCTACTTAGAAGGCTGAGGCAGAAGGATCGCCAAAGCCCAGCAGGTTGATACTGGGGGGCCGTGGGTATGCCACTGCACTCCAGCCTGGGCAACAGAGTAAAACTCCAACTCTAAAGAAAAAAGAAAAAAAATGCAGATTCTCAGGTCTGACCCCAGACTTAATGAATCAGAGACTGTATACACAAATGCTGGAGGTGATTCTAATGCAAGCCCAAGTGTGAGGATGATGTTTGTTAGGAATTTCCACTCTTTTCCACTCCCATCTCCAAACTCCTGACTCTATTTAGCTGTGCTGCTGCCAGGGCCAACAGGCAGGGCACAAAGTGGAGGCTTGACTTAGGGTTAGTCGGGGGAAAGCCTGCTGTGGAGACCTGGGGAGGAGCTGCCTCACTCTCATGGCCTGGAGACCAGCTTTGAAGACCACTGAGCAGAGACCAGGACCATGGGAATACTGGAAGAGCATCACTCTGAGAGCCCTCAGCCTGCAGGGATGAGGTCATTATAGCTGACTTTCCTGTCCCCCAAAAAGCACAGGAACCACTGAAGGGGACTATGACAACTTAAACTATTGGGAGCACATAAAAAGATTCAAGTAGTGTGCAAAGAAGGAAGGAAGAAAGGAGCGGGGAGGGAAGAAGTAAGGAAGGAAGGACTTTCTAGAACTAAAAACATTTTCTTTTTCTTTTTCTTTTTCTTTTTTTGAGTTGGAGGCAAACTCCTGGCCACCCCAGCGTTGACCTGCTGGGCTCCCATGATCCTTCCGCCTCAGCCTTCCAAGTAGCTGGAACTACAGGCGCGCGCTACCACGCCC